TTTTTTTTCTTTCTTTCTACGAATAGATTATGAACTGAAATTTTTCTTGACTCTGTTAATCTTTATGCCCTTTGTTTATGATAACAATATGTGTTGTATGTGTCTAGGTGGAAAATTTGCAGCAATGCCTTCTAAACTAGGAGCTCCTTTGTAGACATGCATGTGTATTTGACTATTTTCTCATCAACATCAACTTATAATATCATGTTAGAAAGGATAATATCGTCTCTCTCTCTCTCTCTCTCTCTCTCTCTCTCTCTCTCTCTCTCTCTCTCTCTCTCTTTTTTTTTTTGCAGTGGGGCTATGTTGTGATCACAACACCGAATGGAGTTCTCGATCACGAGGAGGCTATTCGACAAAACGTTGGCGGACAAGTTCTCGGATACTTTTACTGAGGGACTTCAATTGTTCTAGGGAGAAGAAGATCGAGTGAGGCATCTTCGTTTTGTGTACCTTCTTTTCTAGCCAAGAAAGATCAGGAACAACCTCATTACTGTATGGAGCTCCATTTCGAGTTATGCCTGGGAGAAACTTGATGATGATCAACTGCTGACATGTACTTTTTTGTTTTTTTTTTTTTTNNNNTAGCAGCCTTTTGCATGATCTGTTTGAAGTATATACAAAGTCAGTTAAGTTTTTCCATGTAATAGTTCCTTCTTTCCAGGCTTTTGGGTTTTTTCATTATTCACTCTGGAAGCTAACTCAAGATATTCCATGCTTAAATTTTCTATTTTGCAGTGTTTGGAAAATGAAGTTGAGATTTTAATGTTATTATTCTTTTTTCATGTGAAAGATGAATAATTTGTGGATTATTATTGATTATTATTTGTATGTTAATGTTTGGAAATTGAATTATGTTTTTAGTATTTTACAAGTGTATATGTAGCATGATTTTTAAATTCATAAAAAATAATAAAATAACATATTAACAAACAAAAACAATTAATATATATTTTTAAAAATGTTTAAATATTTATTTTTAAAAATGTTTGAACTCCGATCGACTTTAAAATTTTTAGTTCAGAATTAAAAACTCACACCAAAAGGACGGAAGTGCTCCTTTATTAACTTGTTAACCCGTTTATATTATATGAAAAAAAGCAGCATATAATACTAACTAGTAATTACTTATTTCATTTCAAAAATCTTGATAATAATAAATATTATTATTAGCTTAATAAAATATAATACAACTACTAATATTTTTGTTATACATCGAGTAATATTTAATACACAACAATATTGATTTTTCAAATTTTAAAATTTTAATCTTACAATTTAACTATAAATCACGTTATTAAAATTACAGATAATTAATTTTATCGTAAACAAATATGTTTAAATAACTTTTTTTTTT